GGGGCTAGCTGACATAAGACGCAAGGGAAATATTAATAAGAAAATACACAGAGGCTACTTACTAACATATGCAGGAGGAGAAACATCGAAGAATGGAGTGGGTTTCCTGGTACATCCGGACATATCTAACTACATATTAGACATACATTATCACTCAGATAGAATTATTACTTTGAAAATTAAAAGAGGAGAACAAGCTGAAACATATATACAGATATATGCACCATGCAATGATAATTATACAGAAGAGCAGAAAGATGAATTCTTTGACGATCTGTCTGATGAGATAGAGAAAGTTGAGAGAAGCAGCATACTATATGTAATGGGTGACTTCAGCGGGAGGGTAGGAAATAACAGAAGAGAATACGAACAGTTTTTAGGTCCATATGCAGCTAAGAACAGTGCTAGAAATGGAAATGGTCAAAGAATATTTGACACAATCTTTTTATTACGAACACATTCTTTGACCATAGAGATTCACAACTTTACACTTGGTACAAATGGAATGATGTCTCCATCAAGAGCCAGATTGACTTTATACTTACCAGAGTATAAGGAAGAAGGAGAATTCTTGATTCAAGAGCAATCCCTAATGGTCTATGTGACACTGACCATAAAATAGTTGTGTTAACAGCAAAACATCTTACATTAAAGAAACACAGAAAGAAATTAAACAAAAACAAGGATCTCATCAAGATAGCAAATCTGAAACAGGAAGGAGTAAAAGAACAGTTACAACAGAAAGTAGAGACAGCATTCAAACAACTTCCACGTGTAGTTGGCAATATTGAGGAAGAATGGAGTATATATAAAAACACTATGCTTAGTATTGCATAAGAATTATGTGGAAAACGGAAGAGTGGAAACAGACGGGGAAATAACAAATATTCACTTTGGTGGTGCGAAGAAGTAAAAGAAGCAATTAAAAAGACTTATATAAACAGTGGATAAAATCAAAGAAAGAAGAAGATTATATAAACTATAGACTGCAAAGGAGAGAAACCATCAGGGGTGTCAAGAAAGCAAAACAAGCATCCTGGGAACGTTTCGGCGAGTCAATAGCAGAAAATGAGAAAACAGCCAGCAGAAAATTTTTCAAAGTAGTTAAAAATATGCGGAAAAGAGATGAGAGCTACAACCCCACTGAAATAATTAATGATAAGACAGGAAGGCCATTGATAGATCCACCCGAGATAGCAGAAAGATGGAGGGAATACTTCAATGAGCTCTTTAATCCTCTAGGAGATCATCGGAAAAGAACAACTGAAGAGCACAGAGCAACAGTGTTAGAACCACACATACTAATGGATGAAATAGAAAAAGTCATTAAACAGTCTCCCAAATATAAAGCACCAGGAGCTGATAGATAACCAACAGAAATAATTCAAGCAGCAGGTGAAAGCAGCATCAGATGGCTTCACAGAATATTCAATGCAGCATGGGTACAAAAAACGGCCCCTATTGATTGGCAACATGCAATAGTTATACCATTGTGGAAGAACAAAGGAAACAAACGAGAATGCGGTCAATATTGAGGCATCTCTCTTTTAAGCCATGTTGGCAAAATGTATGCCAAGATAATAGAAACAAGACTGAGACCAGTGATAGAACCACAGCTGGCAGAAGAACAGATGGGATTTAGGAGAAATAGAAGCTGCACAGATGCAATCTTCACACTTAAACAGTTAATAGAAGAGAACATTGAATACAATAAGAACTTATTTGTGGCATTCGTAGACCAGGAGAAGGCATTTGACAGAGTCGATAGACAATTACTATGGAAAATAATGGCAAGATATGGAGTAAGCGAACACCTCATCGAAGTGTGCAAAAGTTTATACAGGGATTGTAGAAGTGTAGTTAGAATAAATCAGGGAATATCTCATCCTTTCACAGTGACATCTAGAGTAAGACAGGGGTGTGTCTTATCACCACTGCTGTTTATCAAGCCCATGTATGAAGATCAACGAATTACTCTTTGCAGATGACCAGGCCTTGATAGCAGATACAGCCATGAAATTGCAACAACATCTAACATCAGTGAATGAAGAATGTAAAACAAATAATATGAGAATCAACACTGAAAAGACAGAAGTAATGTCAATAGGAAAAAAGAAGACAGATCTAAACATAGCAATAGAATACAAAGACATTAAACAGGCATCTGAGTTTAAATATCTGAAAACTACATTTACTGAAGATGGGAAATTGGATACAGAAATTGACATTAGATGCAGTAAAGCAAACCAAGTATTGGGGCAGCTAGCCCCCCTCTTACAGCATAAGACAATCCCAATCAGCACAAAGAGACATCTTATTCAAAGCATATTTATTCCAACTCTGTGCTACCAGTGCCAGACATGGTCACTCACAACAAACCATAAAAGAAAATTAGTAACCACGGAAATGAGATGTCTGAAAAGGGCTGTAGGAGTGACCATAAGAGATAAGATCAGGAATGAGATCATAAGAGAACAAGTCGGCACAGAACCAATTCTGGATTACATACAAAGACAGCAAGTGAAATGGTTTGCCCACTTAGAGAGAATGCCTTGTGACACCATACCATACAAAGCATACATGGAAAGAGAAGAAGAACGTAAAGCACGGGGTAGACCAAGAACAAGATGGAAGGATAACATCAGAGAAACTCTACAACAGCACGATGTGCCTATGGTCGAGGCAGCCAGAAGAGCTAGAAACAGAACCTTATATCTCCCTCGACACCCACAGCAGTAAAAGAAGAAGAAGAAGAAGAATGATCTAATTTCTCTTTGTGATGTCCCATTTCAGGATGTGGAGTCAAAACACTGGCGGTAAATGTAGATAAAGATGGGGGCACTGATAGAGATATTAAAATATACAAATACAAAAGGACTAAACTTCAAATGCTCATTTCTTATTTCAAATCAGTACTCTTGTTCAAAGAACAACTAAAACAGTTAAAAATAACATAAACTACAAACATTCATTAACTTGTGCCTGCCCAGAATAGAGGGAATTAAATGGTATGGTAGAATAGAGTAACTGTTCAGCTTTGGGAGAAAACTAAAATTCCAGTGAATCAAGAGGTGGAGAAATATTGCTGGCATTGGATGGAACACACATTGAGAAAACTGAGATCAGTATAACTAAAAGGGCTGGAACCCACAGGGACATAGAAGTAGGGACAGACCAGTGAACACATAGAGAAGGGAGCTATAGGGCGAGACTGAAAAGATACATTGGGTGAGTTGCATGCAGTAGCAAAAGATAGGTTAAGGAACTATGCTCCATTGGGAAATAAAGGGAAGAAGAAGTGTACGTCCCATCACCATATGCCAGATGCAGAAAAAAGCATTATCGAGTAATTAAGCAGTATTAATGAGATACCATGACTGAGATCTCTTGCAGCCGACCTTCAATGTGAAGATTACACCTCATTGTTTAAATTCAGTAATGAATCAGTTTAATTAGTAGCAAAAAGCTTGAAATTTAATTTGTCTTAATTGTCATACTTGTGTTAGCATCTGTGACTTAGGCGTTGTGAAAGCACTCCATAATGCTGCTGTGTTGGGTTTCGATTCCAGCTGAGGACGTTTTGTCTTGCGTTAGTTTTGACAGTGGTACTGAGAGCTGACTGTTTAGAAAGAAGTGGCAAACTACTGAACTTAAAATTTGCTTAGAAAAACCACAACAGCGCTGGGGTTGGTCCTGCAACGTCCTTTAAAGGATACATAACTAGCTTTTAACTGTCATTTTTTGTTTCTCTTTCTGGTAGATAAGGCTAAAAGAAAATCACAGAGAGGTATCTCACCCATTGAATGGGACAGGCGGAGCGAGGGGACAAGAAACAAGTCACAAGAGAGAGATGTAGGAGATGCCGATTCGAAGGGTCGAGAAGACAGAGAAGAAGAAAGACGTAATTGCTGCCATTCTCTTTTGTTTTGTTAAATGTACTGTAGTATATTTCATTGTTTGTCATTAGATACTTGTATAAGTCGATGTTTTTCTGCTGTAAAATTGTGTCCCCCTTGTTTACTATATATTCCAACTTTCAGACGACTTAATTTTACAGTTTTCTGATCCCTATTCCTGTTTTGTTGTAAAATGGGTTGAATTCAGTAAAAATGAAGAAATATGAGAAGTGTCTGGACAACCGCTAGTCTTCTTCTTGTCTTCTATCACCCAGTGGGGCAAAGGCACCTCACGCCATTCTGTTCGATCCTTTGCTGTAGCCTGCTGCTCTCCTCCGTCCTCTCTTATCTTTTTAACTTCACTGTCTAGCTCCCTTCTCCTCGTGTTTTTTTTTTGGGGGGTCTTTCTTTATTTCTATGCCCCTGTAGGTTCCAGTGCAAGATATTCTAGTTATATTGTTTCCAGATTTTCTCAATGTGTGTCCTATCCTACACCAGCGTCCTTTTTTTTTTCACCTTTTGGTCGACTGGAACTTTAGTTCTGTCCCAGTGCTCAACATTAGTGATTCTATCATTTAATTTTTTCTGTTTTGCGCAGGCACCAGTTAATGAATTTTTATAGTTGATTAGTAGTTGCATTAGTTGTTCTGTACTGAGTTGTCAATAGAAATAATAATTTTAAGTTGAGTAAACCCACTAGTATCAGAGAAGATTGCTCTATATTAAACACTCTAAGAAGAGATGAATAGAGCATCACCAAACAAGCACTGAAATGGAACAGGTGAGGGATTGAGGAAATGACGACGTGCAAGAGACACCCTAAGGTAAAGGTTAATGAGAGAAGCCAGGGGTGCTGGACAGAATTCCATCTGTATCAAAGTGATTGCACAGGATAGAGCAGAATGGAGAAATAGATTGCAAGCCCTGTGCGATATATAATTTCAAAACAGGACAAAGAATAAATTCCTGTTTTGTCTTATCTATCTAATGGAAAAAATGACTGTTTTTGTAAAGCAAGACAACTAAAGTTTTGTGTCAGTGAGTTTGGTTTTCAACTGTATTTGTTTAATATCTGCAGAGTACTGGTCTAAATTAAAGTATCTCATGCGAGGTGCCCGGTTTTTCTTGGTCAAGAGTAACAATCATGAAAATGTGGCTTTGGCAAAAGCTAAAGGTGTGTGGTCAACTCCTCCACAGAATGAAGCAAGATTCAATCAGGCATTCAAAGTAAGCATTTTTCCAGCTAACTTGTCTACCAGGCATAATATATTGATAACTTAAATTGATACAATGATTGCCTAATATATTCCTGTAAGAGTGTCTAATGTATGTAGTTTAATTTTTCAGTTGAAAACTGACAACATAGCACTCCGGATATTTCCATATGCGATCTGTCCTCATTTTCTATAGTCATCACAGAGGCCATTTGATGATTGGCAGCGATCGGATCTATTGCACGTGTTGTTAATTATTCATTTTAAAGATAATCTTCATCGCACATCAGACACGACCATAACTCCTCCTGAGTATGTCTCCAAGTGTTTATAGGCTAACAGCTCCCATTCTATTCTAGTTGATGTAACAACAGGTGGCTCCTGCATGGGTTTTCTGTCTCGCAGCTCCAGTTGGTACACCCAGGGTATGCAGTCTATTCAGTGAAAAATATCGTAGAAATTATCCCCCTGTGGGTTCCGGGGACCCATTGGGATGGTGGGGTGGGGGGAGATGGGGGTCACCCACCAGCATGGTGTAAAAGCCGGTAATTGGGAACATTTCCTTCAGGGTCGGAATGCATCTGCCTGAGAGGTGAGGAACCAGCAGTCTTTAGTATGCCAGGTCTGTAAAATGTATGTGTATAAATTGCTGTATTTGGATTTGTCTTCATTTCTTCATTTAAGAGCTTCATGTATGATGTATGTCCACATTTTTTGTTTCAACAGGAATGTGACAATGTCATACTTATATTTTCTGTGAAAGAAAGTGGAAAATTTCAAGGTATGCTAATTATGATTAATAATTGTTTTTAAGAGAGCATGTAAAATAATCCTGCTGTTTGCTGGGATTGTGGACCTAAATAAATACTTCTTTGGAAAGTGGCTACTGTGTTATCCTGATTCCAGATAATTGGTCATCTAACATCATTGGTCAGAAAGAAATAGCATGACCTTAACTAAAAACATTTCATTAACTCTTTTGACAGACTTGGCCCAAATTAATTTCCCTTTACAAAAATGGCAGAGGGGTGGGTGCACAAGAAAGGCTATAGAGATTGTAATATACTTCTAATCCCTATAAAAGAATATATTTTTTTTAAAAGAAATGAATGTAAATTTTGAATCTGATGATAAGTGTTTGTTTAATTTTGTTATAGTTAGTGGGAAAGAAAAATTCAGCAGGTGTTAATTTCACGAGGACAACATTTAACAAAAAAATTCTTCACTTACCATGGTTTTGCAGCCACAAGAGTAGTAAAAATCCATTTGAGAACAAAACTTCAAAGTTTGTTCAATTTCCTAACATATATAATAACTTTATGAGTAAGTTTAGCACTCTGGAGCTCTTAGTTCTCACAGAGTGCTTAGCAAAATTTCAGAGAAAAAAATGGCAGAAAAGTAAGCCATTACACACACACTATTTGCTTTGTACAGTTATTTACAGACTGTAGCTGTGATGATTTTAGTGTAGCTTAGCCATAGTATAGTACAATCTATTTGTTTAGAGCACTTTCCTTCTCTTACACCATAAATACGGTAGTATGGGACATTGTCTGTGTAATAAACTCATCAGAATCGCTAGATTCCGAACAGCTGATCGCTCAGCTTCACTGGTGAAAATTCACCGTCCGAATCACTTTCCGAAAAATCTAAATTTTTATTATCATTATCACAATTAAGAACATCTGACTGAAACAATTTCAGAGCTTTGGCCACAGAAAGACGCATTCTGCGACCTGTACTTGTAGTTAGAACATTGGTATTCATGGCACTCAAAAACGAACTTAGAAAATGAACTGCAAAAAAAAAATTTCGCTGTTTTCTCTCAAATTATCCACGTGTGGTTTAGTCCAGAAAATGAAACTAAAAGATTTTGGCAGAGTGACTTTCCCTGAATAGTTTAATCGTACCTCCAAACATTAGAAACTAGTACGAAGCCGCATGCGAAGCAAAATGTAAGGGACACACGATTGACGATGACACCGTTGTTTGGGCAAAACGGAACCCTCTCGAACTACGCTCACACCGTTGTTTGAGCCTCAAAGAGTTAAGTCACATGTCTGATTAGCCTAGATGCAGATGTACTGATTCTGATGAGACATGTAATGATATTTTTACATTTCATTTTTTGTCATGAAAATAATTATTACATGGATGTGTACGTGTTTTTTGGTCTTCTTCTTTTGTCAATGTCTGCTTATGCCGCTAGGCGTTGCAATTCATCAGACGATTGGCAATCGAGCCAGGGCAAGCTCAGTCGCTTGATATGCCGTGATGTTATACAGTCTGAGGGTGTCGGTGACTCCTTAAATTCATCTTCTTTTCAGTCTTCCCGCCTCTTGGTGTTTCGATTTTCAGGTTGTACGCTCTTGTTGCTGGCATAGTTTTTTTCATTCTCATTAGATGGCCAAATCATTTCATTTGTTTCTCAATAAATTTGACATTCTTCTTCTGCCTTTCTATCCCCCAATGGAGCATAGGACCTCAACCAACTCACGCCAAGTCTTTCTATCCTTCGCCATTGCATGGAGCTCTCCCCATGTCCTCCCAATCTTTCTAACCTCGTTTTCCATGTGTTTTTTGGCCTTCCTTTATTCCTATGCCCCTGTGGGTTCCAATGCAAAGACATTCTAGTAATGCTGTTCTCCTGTTTTCTCAGTGTGTGCCCTATCCAACGCCAGCGTCTTTTCCTCACTTACTGATCCACTGGAGCCTGTTTAGTTCTCTCCCAAAGTTCTACATTAGTTATTCTATCATACCATTTTATTCCCTCTATCCTGCGCAGGCACCAGTTAATGAATGTCTGTAATTTATTAGTAATTGCCTTGGTTGTTCTCCATGTTTCCGCCCCATACAATAGTACTGATTTGACATTAGAATTAAAAATTTTTAGTTTAGTATTTCTTTTAATTTCTTTTGACCTCCACAAATTCCCTAGTGCTATGAAAGCCCCTCTTGCCTTTTGTATTCTTATTTTAATATCTCTATCAGTTCCTCCATCTTTATCTACAATACTGCCTAAATAGGTGTACGACTCCACATCTTGGAGTGGGGTGCCATTAAGAGAAACCACATTACTATTTGCCTGATTTATTCTCATTATCTTTGTCTTTCCTTTATGGATTTTCAGACCAGGCTGCTGTGATCTCGCATTAAGTATATTTAATTTATCTTGCATCTGATTCCGTAAATGGGACAGAAGAGCAATATCATCAGCGAAGTCCAGATCATCAAGCTGTTTTGTAGGGGTCCACTGAATTCCATTCTTGGTGTTAGCAGTTACTGTTTTCATAGTCCAGTCTATAGCCAGTAAAAATAAGAGAGGCGACAAAAGACATCCCTGTCGCACACCTGTTTTTATTTCAAATGCATCTGTTAGCTTTCCCTCATGAAGAACTCGACATTTCATGTCTTTATATGTTGCCTTTACTAAGTTGATAATTTTCTGTGGGATTCCATAGTGCCCCATCAATTTCCAGAGAGATTCCCTATCTATGCTGTCAAATGCTTTTTCATAGTCTATAAATCCAATGTAAAGTGGTGAGTTCAGTTCAATGCTTTGCTCTATTATAATACGTAATGTGGCTATCTGATCAGTACAGGATCTGTTTGACCGAAAACCTGCCTGCTCATCTCTTAGCATTTTATCAATAGCATCTTTTAATCTTTCCAAAATAATTCTACTTAATATTTTTCCAGGAACTGACAGCAACATAATTCCTCTAAATTTGACATTAGGTGTATGTAAAGATGCTTCCCAACTATTTAAATTCTTGCACTTGTTTCAAACTTTGATCTTTATTTTGATGGTTGTTGCTCTCTGCTAATTCTCAAGACTTCTGTTTTTTTTTTTCAGTATTGATCTTTATGTGGTGTTTAAGGCAACTGTTGTGTAGTTGGTTTATGTGGTCCTGCAACTATTTGCTTTTACTGTGGAATTGATTGTCAGCAAAGAACAGCTTATTAAAGTCCTCCTGTTTATCGACATCTGGTGTTTTGTCTTTTGAATATTATAAAAAGTAAAAGAGAACAAACACACCCCTGTCTTACTGCTGATGTTACTGGGAAACCAGTCTATGAGGCCAGCTCTTGTTCTGAAGGCACTTTCACTTTCTCCATAAAAAGTTCTTACACAGTCTAGCTTTGTTCCATTTATACCATAGTTTTCAAGGGCATCCCATAGTAAATATCTGTTCACTCTATCAAAAACCTTTTCTTGATCTATAAAAGCAATGTTTATTAGGTGTCTGTGTTTCTATTGTCTTTTTGCTGATTTGTTTTAGAGAAAAAATAGCGTCAGTACACCCTCTTCCTTTCCTGAATCCGGCCTGTGCTGGGCTCAGAATCTTGGCAAGCATTTTACCTATGTGGCTTAAAAGGGAGATGGCTCTTCAAGTGTTAAAATCTTGGTTATTGCCTTTTCTTTTCCATATTGGTACTAATATGACTCTTTACCAATCTATCGTTTCAGTTCTTTCATTCCAAGCTTTCCTAAATATATAGAGTAGCCAGGCTACTCCAATTTCTCCACAGGCATGTATTGCCTCAGCTGTAATTCCATCAACATTTTATTCTTTGAAAAATATACACGTGGAACAGAAAATGTTCTCTAAAGACATAAGTCCTACATTGTTAACCATTGTCACTGTCTTTTAGCATTTAGATATGTTTTCTTTTAAATAAAATTTTTTTTTTTTGTAAAACTGATTTAAAACATGATTTGTTGTCTTTTGACAAGGATTTGCTCGACTTGCTGAAGAATCAAGCAAAGACCACCCTCCGATTCGCTGGGTCCTACCCCCAGGCATGACACCAAGAGCTTTTAGTGGAGTGTTTAAGCTAGACTGGATCAGCAGGTTGTAACACTGAAACATTTTTTTTTATTCTGAATTTAGGATGCCATCTCAAAAAGGTTGTGCCATCTGCATCTATCTTTTGAGCTTATACAATTCAGCAATTTGTCTATATTTTTCAGAACCATATAGATTGTAAATAATTCATTTTAAATTTATTGTGGTAAATGTAGTAGTGATTTACTTGTGTGTTCGTAAGTGGGAATCACCATGATGGATTAATAAAATTGGCCGGACTCCTCTGTCCACCCATCCTAAGATGAGTACCAGGAAATGTTCTGGGAAGTACAGGTCTTTGCAATGATGTTCACATGTACTTTAGGTGCAGGTTGGGCTATATTTTTGGGGTGGTAATAATGAATACTTGTGAGATTGAAAATTAAACATCAGAGCACAGTTGACATCAAAGTTGTATAAAGAGTCATCGTTTTGGTAATTCCATCCATCTGACCACTGTTTTTTGTGTGCATATCAGTATCTTGTAGCCACCACAGATGATATTATTATTTTGAATTTAAAGACTTTAAATTACAATGTTGGTTTTGCAATCTCTATGCATAGCATGAAAGTGATATTTTGTTGCATATTTTTTTGTTTCATGTACTTTTTTCAAAGCTGCTTTTTATTCATAGTTTTGTCTTCTGCTAGTATTTTTTTGTTACCGTGTGATATAAATAATGTTTTCAGACCTCTATGAGACATTTCAAAATGATTTCCTAACAATGACACATTCTTTGTTTAATGCGTAACCAGTGAAATACATGAGAACACATCCTCAGGTTTGCGTAGAATGTTGCTAGTAATTTATATGTGAAATAGAATCCATATTGATGTGTGGACAATTGAATAAAATACCCAACCCCCTTCCTGCTCTGAACTGCCATAAAAAGTGGTACATACAGGCAGTGAGGTTTTTAAAATTCTGATGAATAACAGTTCAAATCTATTTAAAACGAGGTGTGAATGGGATATGTGTTGCTCTTTGTCATATTCTTATAGTTGATTTATTTTGCTTTTTAAGACGGGATCTGGACTTTACCAAAACAAACCATCTCTTCAATCTCTGGAATGACAATAAGCGAGTGAAAATCGGACGTGATGGTCAAGTAAGCAAAAATCATTGTCTATCTATCATGTTTACCAAATTCCTGTTCATTTGTATTTAACCCTTTTTTTTAATGCATTACAAAGATACTCAGCTCATTCAGCTTCAGATAACTTCATGTCTTTTTGTTTTAATAATGTTCATGATATACTTGACTGTTTGTTCCCCATCCAGTTATTTTTTAACTCTCTTTGCTCAAATAGGTACTTCAACATTCTCACTCAAATTGTTGTAATTTAATTCCTTCAGGGGATCACTGGTGAAGTGGTCAAGCCGCATGACTGGTGGTAGCTGGTTCAATACACAGGCGCATCATTCTGTTCACTAGTGCAGTTTTTACTCATATCCTGGTCATTGCTGTAGCTATTGAGTTCATGCTTTGTGCAACACTTTTGGCAGGCAGCTAGTCGTTCTGCAGAGTGAGACAACCCAATGGGCTACCACTCGGTGCATTTAAGCAGTTCCTCTCACTTTTGAACATTTGCTTGACTCTGGGCACAGTTGATAAAGATTGTGCCTTCATAATTATTTACCACACACTGAATAGATGTTTACTAAAACTAACAGAAGCCCTATCAATAAAACTGAATTCTTTTATTTTATGTTAACAAAAAGACCATGTGATAAATTTGAAGGTACCGTGGTAAGATCATGGTGATCTTGAATTTCCAGTGGAGAGATGTATGTTGTATGTTCTAAAACTAGACAGGGTAATTAGCTTAAATTCCTTGAAACCATATTGGCAGTTACAGTACCAACTTACAATGGAAAGAGCTAAAGTAACACATTGGACATGAAGGTTGTTGTTATCTCAGTGAAGCTGAGGTGTCTACTTTTTACAGCTCAGCATCTTTGTGATGTGGGTGTTTCTAGCTAGAGCTGGAGCCCATACAGTGGCTGCTATTTGTTGGAGAATGCTATTGTTGGTTGTTTCATGTGGCTTAATCAAGTGCTTCACAAGATTGCAAAATCCCTTAATTCAGGCAGTGTCCTGTTCAAACGCAATAATGGAACTCAGTTTTTTTTTCATTTCTTTGGAGTCACTCTGTGTTATTTAGGGTTCCTTTTAACTGATTTTTTGGTTTTTTTTGTTACCCATTCAACTGGTCTTCACCTGTGTCTTTCTGAGCACCTGTATGACTGCTCTTTTGTTACATAGTTGTCTCTTTCTTGGTTCTTTGAAGGTTTTGTCTTCTTCTTTCGTTCGCATATTTGAAGGTTTTGAATAAGCAGTATTAAATAGTCATGTTTACCGATTGACACCTTTCCGTCTTTCCAGACGTTAGTGTTATATTGCGCTATGAGGAGGCATGGGACTCACAGCCTATGGCGATGACGAGTGTGACTAGCAAGACCTGCTCGCATTAAGAAAATTCTTCCACAGTGATAGCATGGGATTTCAGGACCAATTTTGTGAACATTTTTTGTTTAGTCCGTTTCTTCACAGACGCTCAGCTGTCATTCTTTCTACAGTCATTTCTCCCTTTATTCTTATTCCCTTCCTGATGTGTCCCCTACACATAAACACTATCCATGGATTTTGTTCCCAGGATCCCACCTCAGTACCTGTGTCGTTCATAGCCTGCTTGCACACATCTTTATAACGTAGTAGAAGTCAGCCTCGACACCTTTTACCCGTCTTTAATTCCCCATAAAGGATGTCCTTAGGAACTCTGCCATCCTCCATTCTCCTGAGCCTTCATAGACTGAGCATTAAGAAGACTTGTAATACCTGCTGTTTCCCGTACCTCAGTGTTTGTGATCTTGTCCTACCACTTAATGCCAAGTAATCTTCTTAGGCATTGCATGTGAAAGATTTTAGCTCTCTCTCCTGGTGCGAATAAGTTCACTGTTTCAAGTTCACAATTTCACTGCAATAAAACAGAGTGCTGAGAACACAAGGCTGATAGACAAGAGTTTTTGTTTTAATCGTGAGCTTTCATGTTTACCAGATTACCTTTTATCCTAGTGGTGTTAAGTTGTACATTTTTTTTAAAACTAAGCGTACATTTGTTTTTAAATTTAAAAAAATTAAAATTCAAAATTTTTTTTAGACATCAAATACTTTCTGCAGAAGATGTAAAATTGTGTCTGCTTGTCCCACAGGAAATTGAACCTCGATGTGGAGAAAGCCTTTGCAAGTTGTTCCCCTTTGATGTCAACTTGGATATCTCAGAAGTTGTGCGCAAAGCAAAGAAAGCTCACATGCGTGCAGACAGAGACATCAGAGAACGACCTCCTCGTATAATCGCACCCCGAAGGCCACCTCTACCCCCGGGGCCCGGGCCCGAGTTTGCCAGGTTAGGTGGCTGATTTGCTGGTTCTACCTGTCATGAGATAATCAGACCTACTGAGGTTTGGTTTAAACATGCTGTCGAGCTGAAATATCCGATTTCTGCATCTTCAGCTACATGCAGTTTGGTGCTTTCTCAGTGTTAAATTGACAGTCTACATTGAAAGTGCGTAGTCTAGTCGAGACCTGCAGTGTTAAAAATTAGTTGGAATCACCTGCAAGTTTGGCCAGGTTAATCTTTAGAGCAGTGTCAAAGTAAATGTTTCATGGGGAGATCAGTTCTTGGAAAACGAATGTGTTAATACACACAGAGTTGTAAAACCTAGAAAGAACAGTTCTAGGTTAAGTTATCTGTGTTAACTTGTGCAAATCTTTTAGTTTGCAATATTTTTCAAAGTAGCTTTTTATTTCAAGATGGATTTGTTGGACTAGCAAATATAGCATCTTTTGCCATGGATATTAATTATCCAGATATTTTGAACTGTTTAGATTCAGTGAAAGGACTTGGCATTTGTGCCATTCGCCCAGGACGGCTTACCAATGTCACTGATAATAAATAGAGAAAATCATGATAACTGCTCATAGAAGACAATTTAAGTGGGGTTCCCTTTTTAATTAAATTTATATTTGAAATGGATGGTTCTCCACTAGGCATTTTCAGTAGGATAGTTACTATTGTAGCACTAGAATAAATCACTGTGCTTTGAGAAAGGAAACTTGGAAGCAGTTGATGTTGCTTACGTTAAAGCTGTGCCTTCTCCACAGTTGGTTGTTTAGATAAGTATGCCGAGTGCACCAGCCTTTGCTTTTTGTCCTCGTGTTCATCAGTGTTATTTGATGTGAAAGCGGCAACAAAATCCTTGGCTTCCTGTCGCAAGCGCTGCTTCATTTAAGCAGCAGTAGTATTGGACTTTTTCAAGGACATTCCTTTAATTTAAACGGAATTTGAGTCTTAGAAAATTTCAGCACAGTAGTCTTTGACTGAGTTGAATTTGAAAATGGCAAACCAAAAAAATTTGCGCAACATTAATATAAAAATTCTGATTTATAATATAAAAGGGGGACGGAAATACAGAGGACTGTATGTGGACTTTTTTCATTCCTATATATTTCTGAATATAATGGACATTTTAAGTTCTAAAATGTCTTGTGATAAAGACTATCCTGTGACTTCATTAGTTCCAAATCAAATGAAATAGTAATAATATTTTGTTAAAACTTCACACACGAGTGAACACGAAATGGACTATTATTTTGGACATTTCAACCGAAAATTCAGGCATCTAAATGTGCAAGTGTATGTTTGCAGTCAGTATTTTTGAACGGATTGAAGTATTGGAATAATGACATTGTCTGTGGGGGCCGACTAAACTAGGAAGGTTGAAAGGACACTTTCAAGGTAAACGTTTGCTTTTGGAAAGTCTAAACAATGTCACCGTATGGGTTATGATGTTAGTTTCTGAATATGGACGTAAATGTTTCCCATGCTGAGAGCGGAGAACTCACTGGGGTCATTCTTGCTGAGTGGATAGTGTGCTTGACACTGTGGTATGACTTAGTTTACTGTGCTTGTCATATCATTGAATGTTTTTGTTAACCTCATCTAGCAGTAATGCTTGTGTGCTGCCTCTAGTTTAAAACTCTACCTAATCTTGTTTTTTTTTTATTTATACCAATAGTGTTACTTCATTTGGTTTCTTCTTTCACATATCTATGCAGCCTGTTAAGATAAATATCACTTGGTAGGCATAACAAGTTTTATAATGAAGTGAGATGTATTTGTTTAGCTGTGTGTGCTTACTTGTGCATATCTGTGATGTTTTTCATTGCCACTGCTGCTGTTACTGATCATTTTCACGGGTTAAACTTTTAAAATGTTTATTATTTTAGATTTATCTAAAGTTTCTCCTGTATCTTAGAAAACTTCCATCCTCTGTACTAATAACACTAATCAACACATTTTTCAAAATTAATTTGTAAAAGAAATTTAAAATAAAAAAGCTGATCTGAACTCATTTTGGTATGCAGAAAATGAAATTGACATGAAAAAAAATGTTGATTGGCTCAAGTTTTTAAGAGATATGCTACTAGTTTGTTTAATTACAATATATGACACTGTGTTGGAGGCAGTTACATAATTTGTTTTCTAGTTACCAATACAGATGTAACTATCAGTTCTTACTGCTGACTTTCAGTGACTGCCTGATTGGCCAGTGTCTTCTGATGTAGTGGTCACTTGTGCATGGTGTTCCTACTCACAGAGAAAGCAACAAGACTTGGTGTTTCTGCCCTGTAGTCCAAACAATAGAAGATCTCTTTTAAATCACTGCAAAGTGACCATTGATCATAATTATAATATTAAAAGCTGTATTTCAATAAGTTTCTCTCATATGAACTGTGTGACCAGCTGGAATTGACTGTAACACATTACCATTATTCAACAAAACAGCTTTAAGACTTGACTTTGATGAATCAAAGAAAAGCTCCCACTCTAACCATTTGTAATTGCTTTTGAGGGCTGCCATTTAGCAGAAGTATGGCATGCAGAAAGGTCACCCTCTTTGGAAAAAAAAAGTAATGAGTGGTTTCTGGCATTACCTATACACAGAAATACCATCATCTGTCAATAGATTCCACCATTGCGGTCTGGAACCCAAAAGCTCCTTTTTTCTAGACAAATTCTGATCTCTTTATCATTCATTTCACTTTGGTTTAAGTGTCGTTTGGTGGATGTAGTTTGCCTAAAATCTGGGTTGCTTGAGGTTAATGGTTCTCTTCTTCAGTAGTGGAAGCAACTGAAAATGATTCTGGCAAGTCATCGCCATGTGGTACCGGACATATTGTAGACAGGGATTGTTAGGATTTTAGAGTAGTTAATTTTTTCTAATTCTTGGAGATGCCTTTCCCAGTTGAAGATCATTGCAAATGTAATAGTTGTTGAGGTGATCAGTGGACTCAAAATCATTAAGGCTGCAAAAGGCTAGCTTGCCTTTTGCTAGTCAGCCAGTTTAAGATTGTACTGCACATGTATTGTAGTATGTGTGTGGTACTCATCTCATGTCTTGATCTCCTGTTCTGCAGCCAGAATGCAGGCTGGCACCTTCTTAATCACTTAATTTAAATTTCATTTCTGTCACCTTACCCCACCGCGTAATAACAAATTATTAGTGATGTTCACACATGTCCTAGCCATTTCTAACTACGATACTTTTGACAAGGACAAATGCACTAATGGCAACATTTTAGGGATGTGTGTACACCAGTAAAATGTAGTCATAGGTAGTCATCAACTCTTATTTACATTTTTATTGGTCATTAGAAAAAGTTGTGCATTCGCCTACAACAGTTATGTCATACATATAAATTGCTTGTAATTAAATAAACTAGTGGCATATATCTTGAAAACTAAAGCTGATCAACATTTTTTTAAAATGCCACATTCATTGTAAAATCCAGTACATTTTCAGTGTTGACTAGCGTCATTACAATATTGTCATCTGTTATCACATTCACTCTTTGCTTGTGTCACTGTGTGTACTAGGGGTGGTTGACAAGCATCTAGACATGTGGAATTGTTAACTACCATAGAGAAAGTTTAGCTGTTGAACCTCAGGTGTAATAGTAATTAATGTAAATGGTCCTAGGACTGCTGGTGCTGGTTTAATAATGACTAAGCTAGCAAGAAACACTGTCCATTTGTTGTTCAAAATAAAGTAAAGGTAGTAGGTGCTTTGCTGGTGGTGGGGGGGGGGGGGGGTCATTGCGTTTAATCAGCATCCCTGAAGGGGGAGCTTTAGGTTATAATTGTGACTAGGTTATGTGTGTGATATAAAATGGCTAAGCCTTGCACGCCACATAGAGCCCTGAAAAGGACTCCTGCAGTGTTGATACGATCAAAGTAGGAAGACCCAAATACTGTCCCGACTGGTGACGAAGTCGTCTGTCGACAAGCCAATGGGCTACCTGGTCGGCGATGTAAAGTAAAGGACCCATCTTATGCTAATAACACATCGGGTGTGTGATGCTGTGCTCATATTTTGTAGCTCAGGTGGCATTCTTTGCATGATGTGGTTGTCGTAAAGCCATCCATATTTACTTTCTAAATCATTGCCTGCCACCCATGTTAGGTTGGTTCGACTGGGAGCAAAGGTCAGTTATGAAGTGGGAAAATCCTATGTATTTTTGAACCATAAATCTGTGAGCCAGGAGGTGAGTGTCTCGAGACATACTACTGCGGCTCTTTTTTGTTGTTTTTAACTGGAAACTGATCAATATTTCTGATTTTATATCTCCTGTTTCTGGTTTTTATCCCTCAGTATAGCGAAGGTTCTTAGTCAACTTAGGCTAAGCCCTCCTGTTTTGTTTACCATTTCCTGCAGCTTTATCCATGCCCATTCTGTGTTATTGATCTGTCTCCTCCCTTCACACTGTGTATTTAGGTCCTCCTATACTTCTTTTATATTGTGGGTTCCATAGAGAAGGCTTTCTGTTGTACTGTTTACTGGTTTTTGTGAATATGGTCCCAACCACAGCAGTTTTTTTTTTTCTTTCTACTTCTTGATTAGTTGAAATCAGTTTATTTAGTTTCTTTATAAATTCTGCACTGGTGATCATGCCACCATTTTCTTCCTGTTCTGTCCTTACGTGACTACGGGTTCTGTGTTTTAAGGGTGGAAGAAGTGGTGTATTGTTGTTACTTTTTTGAGTGTTTATACTTTTGTCTATGAACTAGGAAACTAAAAGCAGATGCTTAGGCTGTTTCCTGGTTCTCGTCATCTCTTTGAGTTTTTTTCTCTGATGGTCAAGATCTGCTGTAGAATATCTTTGATTGTGTTAATCTATCTACAGCTAGCTTTTCCTTGTTTTTATGTTGTAGGCAAATAGGGGTAGTTTGTTGGGCCTCACGCGCGTAGATACTTGAACCACTACTATACTTTCACTTCTGTATCTATTTCTACACACACCCCAACCTCCCTTCCTTTGTTTTGTCAAAATGTTAGTCCTTTC